TCGATGGAAATAAATATTATCAAAATAAAAATAAAATAATGAATTAAAGAAATACACAAAAAAGAGAAATTTTAAATAATCAGTTTGGTACTAATATCAATAACTTTTTTTTCAATTTTTTATGATATATTTTCATATTTATATTTTATTCAAAAATAAAAATATTATCCCTTTCTCAAAACCACATAAAACTGTATTATAACATCGGTTGAGACAAAAAAAAAAAACAAAACTTTAAAATCGAGATGTATCTCGTTTCATTGTGCGAATATCATTCTAATAAAGTATTTGACAAATACTCTTAAAAACCATTTTTATGCATGAATTATTGTTTATTGATACATATTACTTAAAATTCAATATTACAAGTAAATTGTGCGTAAATACAACTTATTAAAGCTTAATGTTTGAATTCGTGTAATTGCATATAAACATAATCTAGAGAATAAACATCTCATTTTACATATAAAAAATCTAAAATATAATTAGAATAATCATTGAGTTCTTACAAAATATATAATTATTATCCATATAAAAAATATATTGTTAAACCAAACATAAGAAAATGAATTGAAGAAATACAAAAAAAAAAATTTAAATAATTAGTTTGGTACTAATATATATATATATATATTTTCAATTCTTATCTTCATAATTATATTTTATTTAAAAATAAAAACATTATCATTTTCTCAAAATCACATAAAACCGTATTATAATATCGACTGAAACAAAAAAAAACAAAACATTAAATTCGAGATGTATATCGTTGCATTATACGAGTACATTTCTAATATATATATATATATAGAAAATAAACTTATATTAAATAATTGTTAGAATAGTAACAATTACATTATATAATTACACTTATTATTATTATATGATAATAAAAAATAAAAAAATAAGTATAAATGTAAATAAGATAGGCTATAAATAACATTGAATGCAAGTATTTAGCATGATCTTGGCAGTAAAAGTGCATATCTTGAATTCTTGTTTTAAACCTTAAATATTTAATTTTAATTACTTTCTTTTAAGATCCAAAAACACATCCAAAAGGGTCAATTTTTATTAATGTTTGTTGACTGGTTGTTAATTTATTATCTGATATATATAAATAAAAATATATAAATTTATAATTCTTTTTTAATTATTTCGATCAAACTTGCGTTACTAAAGAGATTTTAAAATCATTAGCTTCAGTACTGATATGCATGTCTATTTTAATATTTAACTAGAAGAGTAATCGCTCAATGCAGCGAGACACATATCGATTTTAATGTTTTGTTTTATTATTTGTCTCGGTCGATGTTATAATACGGTTTTATATGTTTTTAAGAAAGCAATAATGATTTTATTTTTGAATAAAATATAAATTTGAAAATATCATTAAAAAAATTTAAAATATCAATGTTAATATCAAATCTACTATTAAAAGTTTTCATTTTTATGTAATTTCTTTAATTTATTTGTTTATTATAATTTAATTTAAGTTTAATAATGAAATAATTTATTTTTTGGTTTAATAATATAAATTTTATAAATGTAATAATTAAGTATTCTGTTAGAACTCAATGATTATCCTAATTATATTTTAGATTTTTTATATTTAAAATGAGATGTTTATCCTGTATTTGATTATGTTTATCTGCAGTTAGTTACATGAATTCAAATATGGAGCTTTAATAAGTTGTACTTACGCACAGTCTGCTTTAATAGTAGTTTTTAAGAGTTTTTGTCAAATGCTTTATAATATAGCTTAGATAAGTAATCAGTTATCTACATTAAAATGAATAATTTTTTATTGTCTGTTCAATTTTATCTTAACATATATAATTCCATATATGGGGAAGGGTGCGTTTGTGTGCGCACAAATACATCCGAATATTTTAACCTGATATATATCTGGTTTTTTTTTTTTTGTAAAGAATACAATTATTTTATAAAAATATTTAACTATTGATTAAATATTTAAAAATACAAATAAAAGAATAAAAATTGCAAGCTGAAATAAGTTTACTGATTTCAAATAATGATTTTTAGCAGATAAAAATAGAATATGTTTATAAACTTACAAACAGTATGGTTTATATCACACGATTTTTACCTTTCTTGATAAATATCTTTATATCAGCATTCTAGCATGAACCTTAATTTTTTTCCCAGTTTTTTTTTACGATTTTCACTGATTTCTGTACAAGATGGTATATATTTTACCACCCAGTTTCCAAATTTATTTTATTCAATTTCAATTTTTTTTTTGCATTTTCTAAATAAGCCTTGGTTTTTTGTGTGTAAACAAATGTAATCCAACACTTTGAATGTTGGATCCCCTTAATTATGACATGAATTTATCAAGTCCATATGTGTGTTTATTGCTCTAGATTTTGTACATCTTGCATGATTTATTCATAGTAGTATAATAGCAAAATGTTGTAAAGGTAAAAAAAATCTGAATATTTACAGCAAAAACACTGTAAAGGTTTCAGTGTTTTGCTGTGAAGTTTCAAGTATAAAAAATGTTATCTCACATGTCTCATAAAAACAACTTTGTCTCACATGATCTCAAGTCTGATAATTATTCTTGTTTAGTCATATTAACCATTAACTTATATTATTTATATCTTTAATTAATTAATTAATATTATTACTAAAACAGTGAAAGGCTTAAATATGAACGCTAAATATCATAAGAATGTAAGATGAGAATATTTATTTGCGAATATTTGAAAAAAAAATATATTTAAAAATGCAAATGTAAATCCATATAAATTATATGAAACGTCGTTCAAATATGTTGTTATGCATATTCAAACAAAAATTTACAGTTATTTTTAATAATTCACATGTAAACTTTTTTAGCATTCTTATATGAACCGATTCTTAGGGACTGTTTGGTTGGTTTTCCATAAGTCATGTATGAATAAAGCTGTTTGTGTAGTTTAATTTGTCTGCATAGATTACAAATGTTTTTGTTTCAAATGGGTTTTCCATAAATGAAAGAAACGTGTGTTTTTTCAATTAAAATGACAGATTTGGAAAAAAAGTTGGAATTTTATATAAAGCTCCACCTTAAAAGCTTAATGAAGAAGCCATATTATTTATCAATATGTCATTACCAAACAGTCATATATAACTGACCGAGTTTGTTTATCTCTTAATAATTCCATTAAGAGGCAATATCTGAATCGTTAAGAGGTGAACTTGTTTGACAATTTTTTTTTGCCTCTTAATGATTCTAAAACAATCTGAATGATTTTGTATAATGAGTCTCCCTAAACCATTAATAAGAGCCATAATTTCATTGTAAACAATTATCAAACAATTATATTTTATATTATACTATATCATAATAGTCTCTTAATCATTCTGACAATTTAATGATTCTACACAAAACCATTCAGCAACTGTCAAACAGTACATAAATTATGGAAACCCATTAATTTTTTTATTAAATATGTAATATAAATTACAATATTGAAGAAATTATATTACAAAATAAAAAAAAAAACAAAAAATCGTGGGGGTTTTGAAGCAGCTATGGCTGAAGTAACTATGTTCTGTTTCACACACACTCACACAACCCACACTTCTCTCTTTCCTTCTCTTTCTCTCTCTAACTTTTGATTTTTATTTTCGTTTCTTTTTCCAACTTTTTTCCATCAGTGTGCTTTACTTTGTTCTTAATCTTCTTCAATCTCTATCGTCTTAGATTCTTCAATCTCTAACTCTGAAACTCCCTGTTTGAAGTTCTTTACTGAAACTTCATCAATGGCGGACATCAGTCACCCACCCATGGAACAACTGCAAGACCTCGAATACTGCATAGATTCTAACCCTCCATGGCGTATGTATCCATCTCTCTATTCCCTTTTTTTATTCACTCACGCACACACACACGAACGAACAAAAAGGGGTCGGGTTTTAGCTCCTGAAACAGAGCATCCGATATAAGTTGCCATGCAGTCTTCTGTTTCGATTTTTGGTTTTGGATTTTTGGGTTTTTTTTATTGGGAAATTTTTGTATAATGTTTTTGAATATTTAATTTTTATTCTCTGAAAATGGCATTTCTGGGATGGAGTATGTTTGTCAGGTATAGAAAAATTATAAGTGATTTCGGATGGGATTGGGAACAGCGAAAGTTCATCAATGGCGCCCTTTTTTTTAATTGTATTCTATAATTTTCTATTGAAAATGTGTTGAAGAAAAGTCAAGGATTGACGAAGTGGGTCACCCTATTTCAATCATTTTCGCAATTTTTTTTTGGGGTTTAGTCAAAAGGAAGAACAAATCTATCTTTTATTTGAATTGAATCATTGAGATATCATGGCGATTTGAATGATGATGATGGTGTTTATGATCTGTACTTAGGGTTCAATCTATCGTTTTCTATGTCGTGATCGTTGATTGCAATCTTAGGGTTTTGAATTGAATCGATTTAACTTAACCCCAGATGTGAATTATGTGCGATTTCATGTTGTTGAATGTGGCTGAGAATTGAACTGGTGGTGGCATTGATTGTGTGGTTGAATTTTAGAATTTTATTTCCTCATTTTGGAATTAGGGTATGGTTCAGGGAAAACCGTAAAAAAAAATATAAAAAAAAGAAAAACTGAGGGAACATTCTAGTAATCATTCATCTGGATGGGATGCACATGTACATAGAAGTAACTTTTAATATGCATGTATGCTTAAAAACCAAAGAACAGCTTCAATTGCTTGTATGTACAACTGACTAGATGAGCTGTTACCAGCGTGTCCTCAGTTTTTCATTTGTTTGGGGTTTTCCATGAACCTCTCTCGTTGGAATTATTATAAAGGAAAAGGATTTCCCATCGGTGTTATTGAGGAAGGTTAATTTGAGAATTGTGAGAACCAACTATTCATATGTGAATATCATAAATAATGAAACAATATTCATTATGTACGATGAATGATATTAATGAATATTTAAGTACATTCAGTTGTGAATAACTCCCCTAATGTTATTGTTTTGGGTAGATGACTTGTTTGTACATATACGGTTCGTTTGGTTTATATGGTGTGTTTGTGGAGGAATCGTTTATTGATTACTCGATCGATATTTTTGCAGCGGAAACTATTTTGTTAGCATTTCAAAACTACATTTTGATGCTTGGGACGAGTGTAATGATCCCCTCGATGCTTGTCCAATTGATGGGTGGATCGGATGTAAGCATTTATTAGATTCGGGTATTTCTGTATGTATAGTTTTGATTTTCTTCGATATGGGTTTTGATGTATAATTGTTTTTCCTTTTTTATTATCTGATTTTCGGTAGGGTGACAAGGCTCGTGTTATACAAACGTTACTATTTGTATCCGGTATCAACACACTTCTTCAAACACTCTTTGGGACCAGATTGCCTGCTGTTGTTGGAGGCTCATTTGCTTATGTTATGCCTATACTTTACATTATAAATGATTCATCTCTGCAGCAGATCCCCGATCACCATGACGTATATTTTCTTCTATCTTAGTTCATTCGATAATTGTTAACGATTAAATGCCACGGCGCAAGTTCAAATGAGAACTGTAAATATTTTGAGAGCTTGGGAAGTGGGAACCAATCTATTTCATGAGTTATTCATAATGAATAACCCTAAAATATTCATGATATTCATTATGAATATCTATCACACATTCATTATGAATAACTCATGAATAATTGGTTTCAAAAGATAGGAGTTAGAATTTGAACATATGGGAATTGAAATAAATCGTTGTGTCAAATTGGTTTGCAGAGATTTATACAAACAATGCGAGCGATTCAAGGAGCGTTAATCGTTGCTTCCAGCATTCAAATCGTAGCTGGTTACAGCCAGCTTTGGGGTCTCTTTTCACGGTATATTGATATATTTGTAACTCGTGTTTTTTTTATTCGTTAATTTCCCCTTTTCTAGTTTAAATTTCATAACGTGTTGCCTTCATTTTTCGCAGATTTTTCAGTCCCCTTGGCATGGCACCTGTCGTTGGATTGGTTGGTTTTGGACTATTTCAACGCGGGTTTCCAATGGTATGCTCTCATACCCTAAATCTTGAATTTTTAATAATCGAAAAGTATGCAAATCTCACGTATGAAAAGCAATAGAATCTATAATTTGCAAATATAGTAACGGAAGTTTGTGAAATTTACCATAAAAGATACGATTACGATCTTTATGGCACGTGTAAAAATGAAACCAGTTTTTGACGGGATGGTGCATAAAGGTCTATACGCTCGTCGGTTTTTATCCAAAAGTTTTTGAATTCATACAAATTATGTCGGTTTTTTTAACGGAAACAGTCTCTTTACTCTATACCCTCTGGTGTAGAGGAAAAATTCGCATACATTTTATCTCTCACAGACCCTACTTTCGAGTGGGGTATACTGTGTACAGACTTCGGTAGAGAGGAAAATCATAAAAAATAGAAAACTGAGGAACACCCTAATAACCATCCATTTGTCTGGTATGCACATATGCATAGAAGTAATTGAAAATATTTCTTGGTTTCTATGCATGTATGCATTTTATGCACGTGTGCATACAACAAATTACTTTTGTGCACATGTGCATACCAGACAAATGAATGGTTATTAGGGTGTTCCTCAATTTTTCCTTTTTTGTGGTTTTCCCTTGAACCCAACCCACTATGTACTTATGGTCCGGATTGTTTTGGTAAGCGTTTGGTTACATCTTCTATTACTTTGTTTCTTTTTTCAGCTAGGAAATTGCGTAGAAATCGGGTTACCTATGTTGCTTTTAGTTATCGGGGTTTCGCAGGTAACTGTTTTTCCAGGATAAGTTATCGAATAAAATGCTCGTTTTTTTTTTCTTCCTTACCATGCGTTGTTGCCTTCAAGAACGTAATGTTTGCTCTAATTGTAGTATCTGAAGCATACGAGACTACTGAAAGACCTTCCCATTTTTGAGCGGTTTCCTTTGTTGATATGTATATCGATTATCTGGATCTATTCAATCATATTAACGGCTAGTGGGGCGTATCGGAATAAACCCAATGCAACTCAAATGAGTTGTCGTACGGATAGAGCAAATCTCATATCCACTGCCCCATGGTTAGTGAACTATATAGATTCATTTGATATCTCTAATAAAGTATTTGGTCTGAAAATCCCATCTGAATCGATGAATTTTTCAGGTTCAAGTTTCCATACCCGTTACAGTGGGGTCCACCTACGTTTTCGGCCGGTCATGCGTTCGCGATGATGTCTTCGGTTCTTGTGTCAATGGCTGAGGTATGCGTGTATCGTTAAATATTCTTTTTATCTTCGGAAGATTTCCAAAAATGGGCTCTTCAATAAGATTTCCGTATGGCACAGTCCACCGGTGCGTACATGGCTGCATCTCGGCTCGCGATTGCAACCCCACCACCTGCCTATGTGCTTAGCCGAGGCATCGGCTGGCAGGTGAGTTCTTTGCTCATGCATATAATGATTAAATCTAAAAACATTAACGGGACTCGAGTTTATACGACCAACAATTTTGAGTCATATATAAGTTGTTAGGACGAAATTATGCGACCTAACAAGTTTTATCGATGAAGTTGGACAATCTGATGTGACACGTCTTATTAACCTTTTTATAGTACACTTTTGAATACGTCCTATTAGTCGTTTTTATAGGACACGTTTCAGAAGTGTCCTATTGAAAAGATAATAAGACTTATTTCTCGAGTCATATCGGATCGTCCAACTTCACTGATAGAACTTTTCTCGTCCTAACAACTTATTACAACGACATTTTATAGGACGCACACTTTATTTGAACGCCCAATGATGGTTGGTCGCTGTAAAAGGCATATTTCGTTATAATGCGATTTTGTAAAACAGAAATTATCGTGTGAATTGGTATAAATATCCAATTACCCAAATCAGATTTTAATTTTGAAAAGCCATAAATTTCAACTCGAAGGTGACAACGTATGTTTGTATTTGTCTCGATTGGTCAGGGAATAGGTGTGCTTTTGGACGGTCTTTATGGAACCGGAACTGGATCTACGGTGTCGGTGTAAGAACCTAAGACCAAGACTCGATAATTTGTTTCTTGTTTGCTTGTATGAATGAACTTTTACGATCGGATTGCAGGGAAAACGTGGGTCTTCTTGGACTAACCCGAGTTGGGAGTCGCAGAGTTGTTCAGATCTCTGCGGGTTTCATGATTTTCTTCTCCATCTTAGGTTAGTTGATCTTTTCAAGATTTTATCACATTATACTTGGTTTCTATGTGTTGTTTCACATATGAAACAACCCGTGTGGAAAATCTTATACAGTGTTGTTTCATATGTGAAACGCTCTGGATTGTTCTGGGTGTGGGAAAAGAAGAATCCTGAACGGTTCACACATGAGACAACACCGAATAAACACTGCATTTTCATACATGTTTCATATATGAAATAACACATAAAAACTGGTGTAAGTTTGTACGAATTACTGGGTTTGTAAAAGACGGGGACTCTATATGGTAATTCTGAGTAAGGTTTATTACCGACCACCGTTATTTCCCCCCCTTTTTGCAGGGAAATTCGGAGCGGTATTTGCATCGATACCCTTTCCCATATATGCAGCAGTGTATTGTGTTCTGTTTGGTCTTGTAGGTATGCATGCAACTACAACTGTGAAAACTTGCTCTTTTTGAATGATTTCTGGTATAAATAAATTCCCTTTTTATTCTAAGACTTTTTTCGTTATATATGTTGAATATCGTAGGTGCTGTTGGATTATCGTTTCTTCAGTTCACTAACATGAATTCTATGAGAAACCTCATCATAATCGGGCTTTCGATTTTTCTCGGAATTTCCATACCTCAGTATTTTAACCAATATGTGACCGTACATCACGGGCTTGTTCGCACTAATGCTGGTTGGGTGAGTATATATATACATATGTAAATACCCGTTACATTTTTGAGCTCGCTCAAAGTTGTGGGCTATCGATACTACAATAAAATTGGGTTTATAGGACACTAGAAATGTCTAAGTGTCCTAATAGACTGTTTTATATGGCTTAAGTTTATAGGACTGAACGATAAAGCATCATATCTAAGAGTGTTGCAATAAGTTTATAGGACGTTTTTGGTTGTCTTAACAAGTTTTTAAGTACACTTTATAAAAAAAACGTCGTATTAGCTACGCTCTTTGAAAAGTGTCTTGTAAAAACAAGTGTGTTATAAAAGACGTGTTTATAGGACTTTTCTCAAAAGTGTAATATAAAATAGCTAATACGACGTTTAGTTTATAAATGTCCAAAAAACTTGTTAGATGCCCAAAAACGTCCTATAAACTTGTTACAACTCCTTTAGATAGGACGCTTTATACTTTTGGTCCTATAAACTGAAGAGACACTGTTGGCATCCTATAAACTCGGTCTTGTTGTAGTGCAGTAACTTCCACGACGATTTTAAAATTGATTTGGAGGTTATGGGGTCAACCAGTTGGTCCGGTTCATAAAAAAACGATATGGTGGCCCTCCTTTTCGCTAATGGCGACCCATGGAGCGGCTCTTTTGGGTTTGAGTCGTGAAAGAAGGCCTTGGTGCACCAGGGTTTCGTTTCTTTTAGTAACTAGACGGATATCGTGTCATTTATGGTTTAAAAAAGATCGTTTCTTTTTGCAGTTTAATGCGTTCTTGAATAGCATATTCTCGTCACCACCGACGGTAGGGTTGATGGTGGCGGTGTTTCTTGACAACACGTTAGACGTGGTGAACTCAAAGAAAGATAGAGGGATGCCGTGGTGGGTGAAGTTTAGAACGTTTAGAGGGGACAACAGGAACGAAGAATTCTATACGTTGCCGTTCAATCTAAACAGGTTCTTCCCACCAACATAACAAGGAGGAGGAGAAGAGACTAAAAAGTCTTCCATTTTGCAGTTGGAAATGTGTTATTTTAAGAAGAAGAATGGTTTGTTTTGTTGAATTAGGGTTGATTTTTGGGGGCATAAGTTAAGAGGGAAGGGTTATGATGGTGATTCATGTAATTTAATTACCATTTGAGAGCATTAATTAGGGTGTTTTGGGTAGGAGCAGGAGCAGTAGCAGGGTACAAAACATTAAAATGTAGAGCTTTTGATCATTGGTTCCTTTTTCAGGTTTCTAAACCAATAAAACCAAAATAGAAAGTGGATATTAGAGTTTTTCTTCTTCTTGCTTCTGTGGCTCATATAATATATATATTGCAAGGACATTTTAGGTATTTTCTCTTCTCTTCGTTCCCCGGCCACCGTCCTCTGGTGATACCACTATGATACCTAAAAATATTGATTCTGTTAAACAAAAGACATTGTGATACCCAAACACATATAAGATGCTTTGTATTACATCTTCGATTGACCACACAAACGATCTCAATGTGATACCCAAACACATATAAGATGCATTGTGATACCACTGTGGTATCACTGGAGGACGGTGGCCGGAGGACGGAAAGAGAATACAGTTATAAAATACGTTAAAATGTTCTTGCATTAAAATTTTAATTCAAAATTACTACAATTATAAATTTACTAATTTATCTATTGATTTGTGGTTGAGATTGGACCTTACATTTACCACAAACTATGTGTGTGCATACATATGAGTGTGTATGCATATATATATATATATAGAGAGAGAGAGAGAGAGAGAGAGAGAGAGAGATGAAGAATTGTATGAAAAATAGGAGTTAAGATGAGTAGCGTCACAAGAGATTTGGATCCTAGAAAACTTTTAATCTCACCCCACTCCATGAATTGTGCTTATTATGGGAATTGATTCGATGCATCTTGGTGCGACACTGTAATATATACGATATGCTAGGGTGGCAGACAACTTAAGGCATTGTCTAAATTGTGTTCTAAGACGGTGCTTTTGTTAAAGGTGTGTATGTTTAAAAGGGTAATATATGATGGTAATTAAATGAGAACCATAAAAAAGTTGAGAACCGTGAAAATTAATCTAAGCCATTTATTGATTTTAATCTATAGACATAAAAGACAATGACATATTTGAAATAATTTAGAAATTTATGGTTTTTTATGAATTAAAATTGAAACTGCAAGGACATATTGGATTTTTCTCTTCTGCTCCTTTGTTCCCTCGATCACGAGTCGGATCTGTAATCTGTTGCTTACCATTCTCATTGAAATCATTTTCTATTGTTGCCAGTCAAAAATAGCAATTACAGCTGGACTTAGGGGCCGTTTATCAAACACTTATCCGATAAGTGCTTACCGGTAAAATTTAACACTATTATGTATTAATCGAGTAAGATTTTAATCCACCAAAACGACATAGTATACAACAATTTACCCGGTAAGCGCTTACCGTGGTAAGAGTGGTTTTTACTCAACTCAGCTATACAAGTAAAAAGAACATGTAATTACAAAAATGTGATAACACCCATATCACATGTGATACTATATATTCATATGTGATATTAAATCATAGACGCGGGTGACCTTTAACACGACCTAGGTCATGGACCAAGTCACCTACACACCATCAGATCTCTTCATATGTATTATCACATGAAATATGAGCATTCTCACGTTCTCGTAAAATAATGATGTTCTCATTTGAATCTGCCTCTAATTTATTTATACTGTCTCCAGTTAACAAATTAATATTTGATAATGAAGCTTTATAGTTCACATGCTAAACACTCAAAATAGAAGTGAATATGGAATGAGATGCCCTTGAAAAGTTGCAATTGCATCTCCTTATCAAAGCCAAAAATACTCTTTCTTTTTCCCTTTCACTTTTATTGTAAAGTTGATTCACATATGAATCTTTGTCTTAGAATTATTCTTTCCAAATGTTATACATATATATAGAGTTGGGTTCACGTGAGACCAAGGATTTTTCATGAGACCCGTAAGACTAATTTATGTTCATTAATCAACTTTATAAGCTAATAATCTAATAGTCTAAAGTTGTACGGTGACAATTTTGTGATTATTGAGAAGTCTCGTGGCAATTTTGTGATTGTAAATGTTCAGATTGTAGATCTAATTCAAGGGTTGAGAATTAGTCTTACGGGTCTCACGAAAAACCCTTGGTCTCACATGATACCAAGTATATATATATATATATATATATATATATTTGATACATTATTTTGTTTCTTTTATATTATGCATACTTACTAGCGATTTATTATTTTGTTATGGTAGGTATGAAACTAGTTGATGAATCATAAAACATAATGTAAAATCATATAAATTGCAATCGCTGATTTTACAAAGTGACGGTATTTTCCTATACTGATTATTTGACTTTGTTTTAGGTAACCGTGAGTTGTCGAGTCAGCTTATGAGGATCGACTAATCTCCTAGACAACCACAAACGTTCTGGAGTTATCGCACATGACCACAAGGGCTTTAGCAGCTACTTTGAAATCATATATATATGGATTATTATGAGTCAAAAGAGGTTTAACGATATGGACGAACCTACCATGTTGGTTACGGTGGCACATGCCACCGTATTATTCCTCCGTCAAAGGGTAAAATAATTTAGGTTCGTGAAATGTGCAACCATATTAATCTATTGTGTGTCACCGTATGTATTTTGAAACTACAATGAGAACAAGTTTTATTTAGTAGAGTTGGTTTGCAAGACTTTTATTCCATCCCAGACCCAAGTTCGAATCTTGTTAGTGTCATTTTCTTAGTCAAATAGTGCCACCGATTGAAAATTTTCCATATATTTCCACCGATCGAGATTTAGAAGATATTTTTACTCCAACGACTATGCTATAATGTACATTAAAATACAGAAATTAAGAGAGACAGTGAAATTCTCTAAATTTAAAGAAATTTAAAACTCAATATTCAATTCATCTCACCAATAAAATTTGTTGAAATTAATTTTTTGAGAGAGAATTAATATTTAATTCTTTTCACCAATAAAATCTTTTGGAGTTAATTTTTTTAGAATAGATAAAATAATATTTTATTGGATGTATTAAATATTTTAATAATATAATTAATAAAATATTTAATTTATGAAAGAAAAATTATTTTTTTATTCTTTAGAATATCTGGAATTAAATATATTTAAAAGAGAAATAATATTTTATGAAATGTACTGAATAATTTAACAATATGTTTTATATCATAATCTTCAAAATGTAGAAACTGTTGGAGATTAACATAACTGTTTTTTTTTGTTGAGATTTTGACGTTTTATTATTTATTTTGAAGAATCTGTTAAAGCATCTGTAACAGATTCTCCAAAATTGAGAAAATATGAGAGAGAGTGAAATTCTCTGAATTTAGAAAGAACAACCAAAAATGAATACTTGGAAAAAAGTATATTATTTTTTATTTTTCATAGTAACGAGAAATCTTGAAATTAAATGTTTAACAGATAGAAAAAATATATATTTTAATAATATAATAATATTGTAATCTTCAAAATGGAAATCTGTTGAAAATGATGGTAATTGTTCTTTGGAAATTTAATTTTTTGATTCTATATTTGGAAAATTGTTGAAGATGCTCTTAGAGCATCTCCATCACATCTTCCAAAATAGAGTTTTTTTATACATGGTTTTTGCTATAACAGATTCTCCAATCTTTCTCCAAAATGGAGTAAAAAAATATACAGAGTAAAAATCTTCAAATTTGCAGAACACCAAAAAAAATAATTACAGTGAGAGAAAAATATTATTTAATATATTTCTATAGATACAAAACTTTGAAAATAAATATTTAAATAAAGAGAAATGGTATTTTATTAAATGAAAATCATATTTTAATAATATAATGAAAGTTGTAATCTTTAAAATGGAGAATCTCTTTGAATTGAATGTATTTTGTTTTACATACTTAAAAAGTTGATTGTTTACATCTTAATAGTTACATTAAAAGACAGTCTCTAAATCATTAAGGGGTGAATCTTGTTTGACAAAAAAAAAGTCTGCCTCTTAATGGTTCTAAAATTCTTTGAATGATTTTACATCTCGGACCTCCCTTAATCATTCAACGTCCTAATTTTGTTGTAAACAATTATCAAACAATTATATTTCATTTTGCTCTACTATCATTAAAGTTTCTTAATCATTCTGCAACAAACCATTCAATAATTACCAAACCATTTAGAAGTTCCATTCTCCATTTTGAATTTTTTTTTTGAAAAAATCTGGTGACGATGTTCTTATAAATAAAAATTATTTTTTAATTTTCCTATTAATAAGAATCTTTAAAATTAAATGTATATAAAAAAAATATTTAATAAAATGTATTGAATATTTTAATAATATAATTTAATGATTTTTTTAAATAATTTAACATTTTATTGAAAAATCTACTTGAGAACCGAAAGAATCTCGAAAAGAAACCCTTTTGGGTGGTTGGTCTAAATTGGGCCTAAACCCTAATATGTTTTCACCCTAAACCTAAACTTGGGGATCTTACCAAACTAGCCATCCAAAATGTTTAAATTACATTTTTAGCCCCATTTTTAAAAATTTCATAAAATGACCTTGGGTTACCCTATTAGCACCATTAAGTGTGTACATGGACCATTTTGTAATTAATAATTAAAATTTTATTTCTTAATTTTTTTGATTAACCTGGATATCCAACCCGCTACGTGAGTCGACTAATTCCAGAACGACCACCTGTTTTGCAGATAGCTCGGAGTCACCGTATTTGAATCTTCATGGCCCCACGAGGATTTTTATTCCTTATTGAATTTGAACCTGAGACCTTCCTAGATTTTTTTAAAAAAATCGTAACTTTCATTAATTGTAAAATGGTTCATGTACGTATTTAACGGTGTTAACAGGGTAACCCAAGGGCATTTTGTGAATTTTTTTAAAAATGAGGCTAAAAGTGTAATTTGAACATTTTGGGTGGTTATTTTGGTAAGATCCCCTGGGCCGTATTTGTGACGTCGAATCGGTTACTCTTCCGCACCTATAAATGTAATGGACCGACATTGCTAAGGTACAAGATCTGAGTTGCTTTCACGTCTCTTACGGAGAATTCGAGAAGAGGCGAATTTCGTGTTTGTGCGTGAATCTAACGATCCTCAGCCTCATCGTAGCAGTAATCAGATCAATGAATCGGAGTTTGATGTATGAATTGAACTGTTGGCAGTCGTATGTTCGTTAGATTCACGCACAAACTCGTAATACGTCTTTTCAGTTGCAAACAACGAGATGGCCGTTGACCGGATTCTTTAATTCTGGTTTGTTTTGATGATCGTGGTTTTTTTCGAGCTGTTTGGTGTTTTTCATTTGAATTGGTTTAGATTCTCATGTTGTATTAGATGCTATTTGGATTTGGTTATTTCCTTGCAATTCTAGATTTTGATTTGTGCATAGGGGATTAGAAACGGAGAATTTGTTATTTTTATGATTTTTAGGTTGAATTTTTTGGTTCATATCAGATGCAAATGGGATTAGCGTTCGTTGTTCTGTATTTCATCATTGAACATCTGAATTTAATTTGATAAATTGAAGCGCAAACCTGGACGGAGGTATATTACTTAACTCGTGATGTATTTTCTGTTTGGAGATTTCTTATTTGTTCTTTATCCGATTTGGAGGCCTGAATCATAGCTCGTTTTCAACAGCTTGTGGAAGTAGAATATCAAGTTTAGTTTGTTAGACTTGCAGAAAGCCTACGCCATCATGTGGAAGGGTTAACAGAACAGCATCAGCATACACAAAAGGGTCTTGTTTTATTTTTTTTGCCAAGCATAAATAAGAATGGTTGCATACATCCTATGTTCATCTTTTAGTTCTATGTTAAGAAATATGGATATGGATCAATTAAACAATTCTATCTTTTTTTTCATCATTCCATACTTGGTATATATTTGTTAATAATTGCAAGATTTATCATCAGTATGCTTATCTTTTTTCATCTGAATTTTACGGAAACAGTTACCTGAACTGTTGAGAAAGGCGGTCTGTGATTATGGTTAACAGTATCTGTTGCAGATATCCAATTTAAGGAGCCACCATCCTTCCGAGTCATTTAGGTATATAACCTTAAATGAGTTTTTAAATTAAATTCATGACCTTGTGGGTTACTAATACAAAATTGGCTCCATCTTCATGTGAAGGTCATGAATTAAATTAAAAACTCATGTAAGGTCATATGCCCAAATCGAAAATTGGCTCCATAGTTATAGCTGGACTTATGGTTTGCAATGAATTTATTTTTGCCTGTTAGTTGATGTCTTATGCACCATCTTGAACCTGTCAAACTAATTGACATCATGTTTTTAAGGCTATGATTGCCAATCTTGACGTTACAACTTGTGGATGGATGCAACAGGCATTTAATAATTATGGGTAACAATACAAGGGTCCAGGTACATGCTGGATCTTTTGCTTATCTGGTTATTGATCAAAATCCTGCAACTTCTGCAAGGGATATTAAAGCCGGATCCCAACGATACTTTATTTGGTTGATGCTATCTTCGTTTTGGTGTTAAAAGCGATTGATGCAACTGGGACTTTAGTTTCCTCTTTTCAGGGTTTGAGATGAAAGATCGCAGAAGGGTGTATTAATCAGTGATTTTGTTGCTGTTTTCACTACTGGTTTGTTTGATGTTGTTGATTCCTTTGATTTAGGTAAGTGGTCATGGGAGGGGGATCCAATTATTTCTGTTTTGGATATGAATTCTATCAATATGGTATCTGTTTTAATGTCCATAACTTTTCATGATTTTCTAATGGGCAGTGCAGGTTTGAAATTAATAGACCCAGGCAGTGAAATATAAACTCACACACACATGCATTTTGTGTGTAAGCCAACCTGAACAGGCGGATTTCGACACAACTGGTAACAATTGACCAACTTTACTCGAGTGTTTGTTCATTGCACGAGTTGGAATAAACATGTGGATGCTTACGAAGGTTATAGATTTATGATTAGTTTTTTACTTGTCTATTTACCTAAGCTTGTTTTGCATTGGTTACACGTTAGTATTAGGTTTTGTTATTGGTTTTGAGACTATCTTCCCCAGCCTGTTTTGACTCCCATCTTTTGCACCCAAAAAAACATCAAAATCCGGATGGAATTCAGTGAAAGTTAAGATTACAAAAAACTACAAATCATATGTATTTGACAGTGAAATTATTGGCATCGTGTATCAGGTTCTTTGAAGCAATGACTACCAGTCTCCTGAAGAATTCATGCATATAATTTATGCTGAATTTATAGCGATCCAATTGAACACAGAGTCTATGCATGAGAAGAGTTCTTAAAAATGAAGTGTTGTTCATTCAAGAAGGACCAAGCATTATGATCGCATGTCGAACAGATAAGAGTATCTTTGGCAACTGAGAGGAAATTTCTGGTCGACAGTAACGATTTTTTTTCCGAGAACGTCATCAACCCGATTTCCATTCGATTTGGGGTATGATTCACGTGTTATGAGCTTGATTGATTCTTTTCTATTTTTGGAAAGATTTCGTCACATACGACCACAATTAAGTACTCATGAACTTGAAGGTTCTTGTGACAGTCGGTAAAAATGGTAGCATAGTGGCAAAACATGTATACGTTGAATGCTGGAGTCGGGACATGTAATACTTTTTCTATTTGAGCACGGGTTGAGTCGAGTTGAATTGCAGGATCCGTATTCATTCTGTAGCAGATCTTTACAAGAGCAATTTGGATTGACCTTGGTTCGTTTAGAAAATATGGCTCGAGGAAACACATATGCAACATTTAAGAATAACTGTATACCAACTCCTCAGAACTTAGTTAACTCCATTAACACGTGCAAATTTTCGTTTGTAATTCATAGTAGATTTTTAACTTTTATGTAGGTGAAAAATTAATCTGGATTGATGCAAATGTACGAAAAATATTTATCAGTTTATCAATAATCTCGTTTTGTTTTGATTACTGCCAAACAAAAACTCAATGTGATTTCGTGTTCTAGTCGTTTCATTGTGTTTAATAAGGTAATTATCATATAATTCCACCAAAAAATGATACCGAGTCATATTCAGTAAAAACATGCAAAGATCGAATCGTATAAGTTATCTCGGAGCACGTGCTGCCTGTGAAACTTGAAATACAAATTTCTTGTGAAGGACGTCGTTAAGAAATCTTCATAAATTCAATCTGAATTAAGACTTTTATTCATTTGATCGTAAAGTTCTTAATGGTAAATACATACCACAAGATTTTCTAATTAAATGAATGGACAAATTGCATGAAAAAATAATGTACTTTAACTTGAGACCTATTTTGAATAACATATTTTCAAAACTTTCATTTTGGTACCTAAGATGTAAAATTTTAAATATTTAAGTATCGGGGTAACCGATTGAAGCATTAACCGGTTATCATGCTGATGTGGCGAGTGATTTGAAGTGGGTGCGAAAAAAGTGAACTAACCAAGATGGTGGACAACTCTAAAAAGTTCAGATTTGACTGTTTACAGCATGGGACCAGATTACCCAAGCTGTCAGCCAAGTAGACGAAACAAGGGAATATCCAAACGTTTCAGTGGTTTCCATTTCGATGGTGACATTAACATCCTTTACCATCTTAGTCGACTCTTGTTTCTCCACTCACTTAAATTTCCGCATATTAGTGTTTGTGTTTATCAAACAAATGTTTTTTTTTTCAAACAAAAAATATACAGAAAAAAATGCATTAAACAAAATCGGTTTTATAGGACATCTAAAAAGTCTAAACGTTATCATAGAATACTTTATAGGAGGAAGCTTTGTAGTTTGGTACTATAAACTTAGGTTTTCTTGTAAGTATTCTATTAGGATGCTTACACATTCTAATCGTCCTATAAAACCGATTCTGTTATAGTAACGACGCCTATACAACATTTCCCGAAGGTTCACTACTCTTGAATTGACGTCAAATATGAAATATAGAGACATAACGCAATGTATAACCAATAAGTGCGAGGCTTTGCACATGGGAAATCAACCGGCTTTTGGTGGCAAAAGATGCATTGGTTACAAAACCGTTGCTTTTTGAGTCAGAGGTTCATCCTAGCAGACGATCGTACTTGATATTGTCCGCTTTATCCACATATAGACTCATGGTTTTAAAATGCATCTGGTAGATGAAATATCTAGTCCCTTATGAAGCAACCTTAGTTCATTTTCTCAACCGATATGGGATCTTACAATCCACCCCCAGGGAGCCTAGCGTCCACGTTGACACACTAGGTTCGTGACTCTGATACCATTTATAACATCCAAGACAATCATACAAGATATTGTTCATTTTATCCATACCTAGACTCATGGTTTTAAAATTCGTCTAATATAACAGATATTCAATCCCTTATAAGACAACTTTAGTTCTCCTCTTCAACTCATGTGAAATCTTCCAAACTTCAAAAAAGTAAAACATATGTCTTGGAGTATATATAATTTTTTTTGAGTAAATTACGTTTTTAGTCTCCATGGTTTGTTGAATTTTCTATTTTCGTCCTTATGATTTTGAAATTATGATTTTCATCCTTATAGTTTAATTTATTTTCATTTTTGTCCTCATGATTAAAACTTTATTGTTTTTTTCATCCCTATGGTTTACAATTCATTTTTATTTTAGTCTCTCATTCTTAAAAGTAGTGTTTAACCGTAAGGATGAAAATAGAAATGAATTGCAAATCATAGGGACTAAAACCGTAATTTGAAAATCACAGAGACGAAATCCAAAATTTATAACAAACCATAGGGACAAAAAATGTATTTTTAGTTTTTTTAATTTAAAGAAATTAGAGAGAATTCATTGGAGATGTTCTATGATGATAAGATGGAAAATGAAAGGCAACTGAATGTTGGTTAAAAAAAATTGGAGGGCCAAAAATGGAAGGTGACTGATAGTCTAGGGACTGAACTGTTTGTTTTTTATTTAGAAATTGGGATCTTCAACTCAACAACCACTGCAAGAGATAGTCTGCTCCTTTTCCAATTTCAAAATTCAAGCCGGCCAAAGTGACAAACAGGCACGAAGATCACAAAACAGTTGTTCATCAAGTGTTTGATCCAGAAAATCTGCAAATTAAGAAAGCGAATTGTTGGAATGGCGTCGATTCAAGGAAGCGACAGTGGCTGGGTGGGAAGAAAACCTCTCAGACGACTTGGTGGTATGTCAGATGCCCTTTCCATCGCCGCCGAACTCGGTTTCTCTGTTGCTCCTCCTCCATCCCAGGTTAAACTTCTTTCACTGTGATCTTGTACTCATTCGCTTCAAATTCATGTTTAATTTGGGGATTTTAGGGATTAGGTATCTGCAATGCGCAAACGAGGTGATTGGTGATCATTGTTGGTTAGGTTTGTTACTTTGTTGACCCGCGGTTCGGATTTATGCTTTGAAGTTAGATATATAGTCGAGTGGCATTGATCAAGTTACAATTTTCATCAAGATGAAAGGTTTACCTATTTGAAGATTTTGACTGGACATAGATATATGAAGGTCGGAAGGGTTTCCATCTGATTGCTTAGAAGTTGTGCATCATGATTGATTGTGTACTTTAATCCCAAATGACTAGCGTTTGAGAGCATCTATATGCTTCCTTTTGAAGTTTAGATTCTACAGTTAGCGGAACAAGCAAAATTTCCAAAAATGGCAACTACAGATATTCAAGAATTAGGGTACCTTGACACACGGCATTTGTAGTTTCAGTTAGCTGATATTTATTCATTTGATTCGCCATTTATCGGTCATTGTTAAAAGAGCTCTATTGTGCGAGTTCAACAGTCCTTGACTGTATATTACTTTCACATGCTAAAGACAAGTGAATGGAAACACCGAACACTTTGTCCATTATTTTGAAATGTGTTTGATACTAACGTTTTGTAAGTGTGATCTATCGATTGTTGAAAATGAAGAAAACTATAGGTTATTGCTGAGACTCACAACAGCCAGAAACTAAAGTTCATATGGTTTGTTGGATCGTAGAATTATGGTGGTTTGACATTTAACAGAGATTATGTATATGATGGTGGTTTGACAGTTTGATTTTGTTATCAATGGTCTCTTTATCATTAAATATTATAATGCTTGCATTTGCCATTGAATTTTTGTTTGTTTTCGTTTTTTTATTTAGGAAGACTTGCAGAATTCATCAGCTGGTGGTGAAAAGGGTGATGACTTGATACGTGTCTTGAGGGAGCTTACCTCTGTACAAAGAAAAATTGCAGATTTACAAGTGGAACTTCAAGGTCGTAAGGTGACGTTGTCAGTATTTGGTTCTTCTTTTTAGTTGCATTTTCATTTGATTGGTTGTAGAGTTTTAATTTGGGAAAAGAAAGAAAAAAAACATAACGACTTTCTTTTGCTTCCACTTACGCTATATTCAATTGTTTCAATCTATCATTCTACTAAGAAGTCTTTTTGGAGAACAGATCTAATGTGCCTTTTAGAGTTAGAGCCCAATCCCCTTATACCAAAAGAGGATATTGTCTTTCATGATTTGAGTTGTTGAAAATAAGACTCAGGTGAAAGGCAATCAAGACACAGGAGCCGAAAATATGGGACAAACTCTTTTAGAGTGATGAGACATGGGTCTGTCATACTCATATCCATACCTCAAAAAGCTTATTAATTTTACAAACTATAGTAATAGACAGGGATCTCTACGTTCCTAGTGGACAACATAAGTTGAGTTCACATATTAAGAGAAGTGTTACATTTGATATTTAAGATTTTCTTCTTGGCATATTACATCACATTTCAGGTGTAAGCTAGGAGAATTTTAACATTCAACCTTTCTGTTAGAAATTTAAAACTTTACAGTCGAGAAGAGATTATGATAACCCCCTTGTACAGTACATCAAGTGACTGTTTCTACAATCTCTTGCATGGCAAAGGTAGGCTGGTCTTTTTGTTTGAGAACACTGTAAACAATGCGATCTTGTATATAACTCAAGACAACCTTAAAATAGAAACCTTTGAGTGTGAAATTCTCTATCTAATTTCTTCAAAGAAGTAAATTATTTAGATGGAAAAAGGTTATGTTTGAATTCGATGGCAGATGTGGTTATGGAAATTCATGGAAACACTGCTGCTAAACTTTCACAGATAAGCGATTTAACCAAAATGGCCGAATAAATTTTCACTCGCCCTTTCTATAATGTTCTGCAGACCAGCTTCCTTTCATCTATATATCAGCATTTTATTGTAATCACACCTTTCTTGAAAATTTTGGTTTCTTTAACTAATTCCGATGCTATTTGGTTTTAGAACTATTAAATGCACAAGAAAACATGTTCCAATGTGTAGTACTTATTCTTTATGTGGGTTTCAACATATTATTGGCTGTGTAGCTGCGTTCTTCAAGTGAAGTCGTAGGGGGTGTTTGGTTTGATGAAATGGTTTTGAGGGATTTGGATTTCGTGGAAGGATTTGGAATTGGAGGAATATGGATTTGGAATCTTTGGTGTGTTTGGTTTGATGGATATGGAATGGAATGGAATTCCATTTTTTATAAATAATTATAAAAATAATTAAGGTATCTTTTTATTAATGAATTATTAGAAAACAAATGTTTTTAACATATTTTAAAACATTATTATATACAAATCCTACGAAATCCTGTGAAATCCCAACCACCCCCGTGGGATTTCAAAAATCCTATGTTTGAGGGATTTCAAACCCAGGAAATCCTTCAAACCAAACATGGGATTGGAATGAATTTCAATTCCAAATCCAATCCAATCCAATCCTACAAACCAAACGGGACCTTAATGTTATCCAATATACTGATTCTATCTGTTGAGAGACTAGGACCAAAATCAGTTAAACATATAATTTGTGAATGTTGATCTCTTTTTTGGACCTTTCAGGAAGATAAAAATGTTGCGCACTTGACACATGTGAGTGAAATGGAAAAGAAGATAGAAACTTTGGCAAGGATCACTACTATATTGAAGGATGTTATCCAGAATAAGGTAATGCAGCAGTTGATGCCTTCTTTGAATATTTCTATCAAGCATTGTGTTGTCTTCTTAGGCAGCAGCAAACGTGAGGCTGAACTCCATTGTTTAGAAGCTTTTTAAGTTCAGTTGCTTTTTCTAGTGTTTTGGTTAAATTACATAAATGCCCCTAATTGTGCTTCTTAGATGTTCTCTTATTAAATTCTTGTTGCAACTTCTTATGGTTGTTCATCATGCTTTAGTTTTTCGTCAAATGGGATATGTAACGGAGTAAGAGGAAATCCGACAGCAATGTTTCATGAGATTCTTGTTTAGAGCTTTCTCATATGTTTTTTACTTGACTTGCAGGACCGAATTATAGCTCGTCTTCAACAACCATATTCATTAGACTGCATTCCGGTGGAAGCAGAATATCAGGTTAGTTGTTAGAATTGCAGAAAGCCAATTTTACAAATCAACATGCTTGGTCTTACTTGCTCTACGTGTGTTCTACCTTTCTTGCCTTTTCGTCTGTTCTCAATGCACGTACTCGTTACTTATTCTTATTTTTTGATGTATATTATATTTATATACAGCAAATACTTATGCACGCTCACTTTTGGTGAGGTTTTAACCCTTGACCTCTTGGGAGGCTGGGCTCTACCGGTAACTCGGGTACAGTTGGGCCAATGACCCTTTGGTTACTTATTTTATTATTTTATTTTCGTGCTTCTTTTACCATACGTTGGTCTTTATTCCTTCTACCTGTTTGCTCACACTCTTGCACAAGTTGGGGGTCTTCACAGAAACAGTTGTTTAGTCCTGTTGGAGGTAGAGTCAAGTCTGCTTACATCTCCCCAAGACCCTACTTTCGAGTGGGATTTACCGGCCAGTTTGGTTTCCTTTGATTACAATCAAGATGCTTACCTTTTTCACCTGGGGTTTGCAGAAACAATTTTCCGAGCTGTTGATGAAGGCTGCCAGTGATTATGGTGCTCTAACGGCATCTGTTGCAGATTTCCAGTGGACTCAGAACTTTAAAGAGCCACCGTCTGTATGGGGGGTATGTCTCTATTAACAGCTGACCGTCGTCGTTATATATATTGTTAGAATGAACAAGTTACAAAATAGCTAAGGGATTACGGTTTGCTTTTGAATTTATATTTGTCTATTTATTATCAGGATGTTCATCAGTTTTCCATTTTTTGTGGTATTCCCTGAACCCTGAACCCACTAACTGGGTTTCTCATGGTTCTCATAAGAACGTTCCCCTAACGGAATAATGGGGTTTTGGATCGAGTTTAATTAAGATCACAAGTCAACCGGTTCAATACGTATTAATAGTGAAATTGTTGGTATGATGTAGGAGATGCTTCGACCAATCCCTGTAGCATTGGCATCGTGTACGAGGTTCTTTGAAGCGATGACCGCCATGAGAGAATCCTTTGCAACCCTTCAAAAACTGAGGTTAGGGCCCTCCGAGTCTGGGATGAAAATGGACGTTTCTCGGAGAACAACATCAATCGACTCCGATTGCGTGACTCCACCTCCATGGGGAAAAGAATCGAGTTTTGATGATTTGGGTGTTAGAAGGCAAGAACAGGACATAAACAGTAGTGATTTAGATGGCATGAGCAACCGAAGATTGTCGTGGCCTTTGGGGAAGCCAAATGTTTCATAGATGCTTTCGGTTCGAGTCGAATGGTTATTTGATGATGAATTTGTTGGTTTTATTGTGTGTATCTTTGGGCATGTTTTATATGAAAAAAGAGTTCGATTTGGGATGTATATGAGTGAGAATGATAGTGCTTAATTTTAACCTTAGAATTGTTTGTTTACCTCTTAATGGTTTCATTAAGAGGCAGTCTCTGAATCTTTAAGAAATGAATCTTGTTTGGTACAAAAAATCTACCTCTTAATGGTTCTAAAACTCTGTGAATGATTTTGTATATTGAATCTCTTTTAACCATTCAGTGTCCTAATTTCGTTGTAATTAATTACGAAACAATTATATTTCATTTTTTACATTATATCATGAGAGTCTCTTAATCATTATGATCACTTAATTATTTTGCATTAAATCATTTAGCAACTGTCCATTTTAATATGATATCTTTGTTTGTTTTTAAGAGTTGTTGAAGTCTGAATTCTTATTTTATTTCTGAATGATAAGAGTGATACTGTCCATCTTGTCTTCTTTTATGGATATCAATTTAAGGACCGTTTACTAAACATTTACCAGGTAACGCTTACTGATATCATTTACCTTACCATTTGAGAATCTTATCCAGTAAGAGGCATAACAAAAACCGATAGTTTTATATTGTAAGTAGGGAAAAAACTCTTACCTGATAAGCATTTACCGGGTTTAAGACACTTACCAACAATTTATTATGGTGGCCAAAAACGTCATTGGTTAAGGAAATTTCATTAGGAAAAAAAATCGAAACAGTATATCCTTATTTTCAGAGTAAGCTACCTTTTTCGTTCACATGATTTTCTGAAAATTGCTATTTTTGTTTATGATTTGCTGTTTATTTCTGACCCCAGTAAGAGGACGGTCAAAGGTAATAAGACTTATTGTTGATTTTCATTTTAAGTAAACACTTTTACCTTTTATCCGGATAGGCGTCTCTTAATGGGTAAGAGATTAGTAAACGAGACCTTAGTCTTTTTACTCTTTTATATGAATTTTCTATTTAAATTAGTAATATTTTATCGTATTATAGATTATATGTTATTGTGTATATATACAACCGAAATGAACTTCCGAGACCTTCTTCACCATTCCCTCAGCCTGTTCGCAATAGGGACGAAGCCAGAAAACTCAACTGGGGTAATCCTCTTCAATTTAACATAAACATAAACATTCAAAAACATTATATTGATAGTAGACACTAGACATGGCCAAAAACCGGTCCCGCACCGAGCCCAAATTGGTCCTGGGCTGAAACAGTAACAATCCGGACCGGTCTCGAAATACTAAGACCCGGTTAAAGGTATTTGTAGCCATACAATACAACATGGTTGTCAGAGCATAAAACTCTCCTAAATTATAAAATTTATTATAAACATAGCTGCCGAAAATGTTTTGAGAACCTTCCATTAAAGATGCTCGAAGTCGATATTACGTTTGAATCCCAGACAAAAACATCATACAAGAATAGAAGTTAAGGTGAAAAGTGTAAAACACTTTTAACCTATCAACTCATGATTTGTGTTTTAAAAGAGAATTGATCAAGTATTTTTCGTTACCTGCTGATCTAATGGAACTCTTCAATCAGATTTTATCTGATAATAAAAATCATTTCTTACCAGTCTTATCATAACCTTGATTATTATTACTGGAATCCAACCCCTTAAATCCTATATTTAAATATCAATCATAGAAATAGATAATGGGAAACATGGGTTTGATTTGTTTGTTTTTCATTGTTGTGAGTTGTGACGAATAATACGATTCATTCACACCACGTGCTTTCACAATTATTTCATTTATTAAGAATATATATTTGTCAGAAAATTATTGGATTATAATTAATTAATTTAGAAAATAAAAGGGAAAAGATTAAAGTGAAAAAAAGATAAAAAAGAGTTTGACATCGTTTACCAAACGTTTATTCGAATAAGCGCTTACCAAGGTATACTATCTTATCGGATGAATATGAAAGGACCAAGAATCTTACCCGGTAAGCATGAAGGTAACGACTGAGAATCGTATTCTGTAAATGATGGCGACGACTCTTACCACAGTTAGTGTTTACCGGGTAAATTATTGCATACGATTATGTTTTGGTGGATTAAAATCTTACCCGGTAAGTAAGTGATAGTGTTGAATCTTGTCGGTAAACACTTGTCTGAGTAAGCGTTTGGTAAACGATCCCTTTATAATTGTTGATTTTATATTGAATTATTATTTAATAGTTATAGCAATAACTAAATTATATTATATTAAATAAACATAAAACAAGATTAAGAACAGGTTTTTGTTATGAAGTACCAAACTTATAATTTGTAACGTGTATTTTTTAAAATAGAGAAAATTGATAATTTATTTGAAATTTGATTGGCCAATTATATAAATAAAGAAAATACGAGAGAGATGTGAAATTCTTTATCATTAAAATTACAAAACTACCCAACATTTCATTATAAAAATATATTTTCAAAGGGTATATTTGTAAAAATGACATCTTTCGTTTCCTTTTTTCTGTTCAAGAACGTGAAAAATTATTCCCTTTGTTTTGTACGAGTGTCTATTGGTTCTAGAGAAGTTAACGGGAAATTCACCCTCAAAAGGGTATTCGCAGTTTACATCTTTCAGCTACTGTTTCAATTAACATTTGACAGTTGAGAAACGAGTGAGATAATAGGTTTTCTAAAATGAAGAAAATTAAGATTATGAACTGATTTTTTGCTTGTACTTCTTTAACCAGAATAGTCGTTCAATTAAGATTACAAACGCATCGTTGAAAGAAAGCTAAATATAGAAAATATAAGGTTAACACGTAATCATTATACTTACGTATGTGACGTCTGTTACTTACAAGCTTATTTATGAGATTTAATTTAAACGTGACGTATGATCTTTAACTGATGAAATTTATACGTTTTAAATCACATTAAAATTTTGTTTGTAAAACAGTAATATCATCTGCAACACTGGTTTGACGTCAATTATATATATGAAAGAGAAATTTTATGTTTTCCAGATATTGAATAGATAATGTTAAATATAACTGATTTATGTTAGAATCAAGTTAAATTAGACATTAAGACTGTCAAAAATAAGTCCTTATATTTATATGTATAAGGAAGAAATTAATAAATAAAAGTATATCTAGCAATGGACAAATTGCATGAAAAAATAATGTACTTTAGCTTGATTCCTATTTTAGGTAACGTATTTCCAAAACTTTCATTTTGGTACCTAACATGTAAAGTTTTAAACATTTAAGTACTTGGCTGACCAGTTGAAGCGTTAACCAGTTACCATGTTGATGTGGCGAGTGATGTGGTATCTAACTCAGATTATTTGCTGACATGGATATCTTAATCTAACCGGTTAATGTTTCAATACGTTTAACTGGTTAATGTTTCAACCGTTACCCAGATACTTAAATGTTTAAAAATTTTATTTTAGTAGGTATCAAAATAAAAATTTTAAAAATACATTATCTAAAATAAAAATTAAATTAAAATACATTATTTTTTTATACAATTTATCTGTGGATTATTTTTTCAAATGTTTATTACAATTTTCAAATATTTCTAGAAAAAAGTTTAGAAAGATATAATATTGGTGGACTGAATTTTTCATAAACCACCCATGGTATGTTTAAAGTTGCAATTACGCCCCCTATATTATGAAAAGTTGGCAAACAGATCCAAAACTTAGGAGTCGTTTTTTGTTGCAAATATTAACTTCTGGCATATCATATCTTGATAGATTGACGTAATACTCTACCGTGTACATTTCTATAATAATGGTATTTTTCTAAAACAAAACTTTGTTGTTCAGCGCCTTGAATCAGCAATCATTTCGGAGGATCAGGTTGGCATTTGCAAACAACTTGATGCAGTATCTTCCTTCAACCCTTTAAATCAAAATCTACCGACTCATTCATGTTATGATTTTCTACATACAAGGTCTTCTCGTTCCAACATCTCTGACGTATCGACGTGCCATCTATTCTCTTTTAGATGCTGTTTGATAGTTACTGAATGGTTTGGTGCAGAATGATTAAGTGGTCAAAATGATCAAGAGGCTTCATACTATAGTGTAAAATGGAATACAGTTGTTTGGTAATTGTTTACAATTAAATTTGGTCGGCCATACATGATTGTTTGGTATGACTTGATGGTATAAAAATTGGCTTATTTCGTAAGCTTTCCAAAGCGGAGCTTTATGAAACAACCCTCTAAAACAAAAACCTTCACAATCTATACAGATTATTTTAATCCACATTAACAATTTTATCCATACTTGACTTAACGTGGGTCCGTTTGTCTTATTAATATGATACAATAAAACTTTCAAATCCGATGTTTCCTACAACGAAAGGGGCCTCACTTGAATTATACCATAATACAAGGGTCAAAAGTGAAATAAAGAAAACAGTATGAACCTTATTTGCAAATTAGTAAATGCGTCCCCAGGATCATCCGGTGGGTACTTCTTTACGCTAACATTTCTTCTTCTGACCATTATCCTATATCTCTATCTTACAGAAGGGGACAGGTTTCAGATCCCTAGGCAAAGTTACGATTCTGCCCCTATATCTTCGTAGTAGTTGTAAGTTAACTTCTATATCCTTTTCCATTAATGCCCCCCTTTTCCCTCTCTCGAAACTGCTTCCGTCTTCTACGTGTCGTCGCCGGAAACCGCCACCTCAGCCACCGTATTGAAGTTATCCGAATTCATCTTAGAGAGAGAAAGAGATATTACACACAGTAGTCAGTAGTGTGTGTGTTTTTGATGCATGAATGGCTATGAATTGCATAAATGCAATCTGATCATCTGTGGTTTGTTTAATAATGGTTGCTTTGATACTCGTGGACTGATCCGTTTCATTGTTATGAAGTTCGACAGTGTTTTTGTTTTCCCGCTCTTTTCTTTTTCTTCTTCTTCTTCGCAGCAAACCTTATGCATTGTTGGATTCATCAATCTCCATCAGGTTCTGAATCGTATTTGAAGTTATTATTCGTTGTGTATATGCGAGCATTGGATTTATATATACATATATATATATATATCAGATTTGATATGTTTCTATATAGATCGTCGGGCTTTCTTAGTATTTTTTTGAAGACTGAGCACTTGTGTTTGTGTTTTTGAGCTTTATGCAGGGCTTAGAGCGTGCTTTTTCATGGCGAAATGCTACGCTGCTCGCGACTTTTTTAGTTTAACCGGTCTACAGATCGGGTACGAATCTTCTTCTTTTGGCTTATTCGTACATATCATTTGAGTTGTTTATTTAAGGCTTATACGCATAGAATATGGCTTAATCGTACATATAAAAATGGTGTGTTACCTTATTCAATCATAAATATGACATCCCTACCCTTTATTTAAATAAGTGTCCTTATAATGAGACATCTCATCTCTGGTTTTTTTATGATTTTTTGTTTTGATGTTCAAATAATTAATATTGTAGAGTAAATCGGTCATTTATGTTACTCAGATGATCGGTTCAAATGAAAAAAAATAATCACCATCTATTTATTTAGACCGACAAATTTATTCGGACAGAACTTAATAAAAAAATTTGGTGGACACTGGAATTTTCCTAGCTGTTTAATGGGAAAGAAATGGAAATAAGTTTTTTATTGGTGTTCTTAGATAAATAAAAAAAGGGAAAAAATGTCATTTCTATGAATATATTCTCTATATTTGTTTTTATCAGCTTTTCCATTATGAGAGATTTTGTCGTAAATGTCACTTTCCTTCAGTTTTAGTTTTTCACTAATAACAGTGTTAAATAGTGTAATATTGAGTTTTTGGAAGGATTTTAGCTTGGCACGTTTACCAATTACTTTTTCACAAAATTCACCTAACTTCGATTAATCACCTTATTAGATAACATCCTTGTTCATATAGTACTAGAAGCGTACTCGCGCAATGCAGCGAGATATATCATGATTTTAATATTTCAATTTATTATTTATCTCAGTTGATGTTATAATATGGCTTTATGTGAATTTGAGAAAGCGATGATGTTTTTATTTTTGAATAAAATATATGTTTGAAGATATCGTAAAAATTTGATTAAAAATTATCGATATTAGTATCAAATTAACTATTTGAAATTCCTTATTTTTTTTATAATTTTTTAATTCAATTTTTTTATAATTTAATTTATGTATAATAACGAAATAAATTTATATTTAGTTTACTAATATATTTTTTTATAAAGATAATAATTATTTATTTTGTTGGAACTCGATAATTATTCTAATTATATTTTAGATTTTTTATATTTTAAGATGAGATATTCATTCTCTATTTGATTATGTTTATACATAATTATTTATACGAATTCAAACATCGAGCTTATATAAGTTGTACTTATGCATAATTACTTGTAATCTTGAATTTTAACTAATATGCATCAATATACAGTACTTTATGCATAACAAAAATATATCGATATTCGTATCAAATTAACTATTTAAAATTCATCATTTTTTGTRYAATTTTTTAATTCAATTTTTTATTATAATTTAATTTAAGTACAATAACGAAGTAATTTATATTTGATTTAATAATATAATTTTCTTATAAAGATAATAATTAATTATTTTGTTAGAACTCGATAATTATCCTAATTATATTTTAGATTTTTTATATTTTAAAATAAGATGTTTTATC